ATATATATATATATGTATATATATATATATATATATATATCCTATATAAATTTATAAATTTTATATGTATATATAAATATGTATATATATTTATGTTTCTATGTAAATATTTCTATTTTTTTAAGTTAGTCATTAGGAGCGGACTGCCTAGGTTTAAATTCTGGCTCTGACGTTTCTAGCTGTGTAACCTTGGCCACATCACTTGTGCCTTGATATTTTCATGTGATTAATACTACCTATTTTAAGGATTAAATATAAAAGTACTATTACTGTTAGTATTACTCTTCTGTTCTGCTTTTACAAACATCCTGCTTTCATATGCTTTTCATATTCCATTTGTTTACATCTCTCTTTTGTTGATATTTCTCCTCATGTTTCTTTTTATATTATTTCTTTGCTTAATGAATTCTAGGTAATGAGAAAATAAACATGTGTGTTCAGTCCTCTTTCTTAAGCTAGAAGCCAAACCTGATTTTTAATTTTAGAAAATATTCAGTGATTTAATGGTTTTAGTGTTATTTTTTAATAATTTAAGATATTTTTAAATGAAATTATTCTCTCTCCCTTCATATATTATCTTTACCGTATTTGCCTAGTGATCTAATGACCTAGAGTCAAAATTAAACAGGAATTTTCTTTCTTTTGATAGATTCTTAGTGATAGTAGCAAAACTGTTTTAATGCTGGCCAGAATTTAATTCTCTTTAAAGCACTGGAAGCAAAATAAAGAGTATCAGCATGTTAGAGAAAAGCCTAGTGTTTTTTTTGTATTACATCAATTGAAAGTTAACAGTTTTATTACATCTTATGAAAGACTGAAAAATGAACCAGAAAATAATGATGAGAACGATGATGATGATGGCAGCTACAATTTCAAAACTGCATAAATGTATACCAGACACTTAATATATATCATGTTACTTATTCTTCATAATAGCTCTACAAGGTAAGCATTTCAGTCTGCATTTTATTTATGAGGAAACCAAGATTTAGAGTGCTTAAATAATTTGCCCCTGGTCACACAGCCAGTAAAGAACAAAGGCCTTTCTGACACATAATCCTGTGTTCTGGGATTATGTACAACTAATCTGGGACTTGAGAACCTATAGATTTGAATAAATTGCATTAATGAATGACTATTACTGCATCTCAGGGGACTGTTTCCCTTTTGCTGTGTTTCCTCCCTCTGATACCATGGTGGTCACTGTAGCTGCTCGTAGTAGCTAATACTTCCATGTCTCATTCCCTTAAAATCCTCATCAACAACTTTCTCATTGGAATCCTCTGTTTATTTAGAGACCCAGCCCCATGTGAGCCCAGGTGGGGAATACTCTAACATCTCTTAGTGAGAGCAGGAACATACCTGTCTGTATTGCCCAAGTCAAGGAGAGTTTCTTGTAATAATAGACACTCAGTACACTTTGAAAAATGAATGAGTGGTGGTAAAAAAAAAAAAAAGAACAGACTAAAATTCCTGATGTAAAAGACAGAAGAGAGGGCTTCCCTGGTGGCGCAGTGGTTGAGAGTCTGCCTGCTGATGCAGGGGACATGGGTTCGTGCCCTGGTCCGGGAAGATCCCACATGCCGCGGAGCGGCTAGGCCCGTGAGCCATGGCCACTGAGCCTGCGTGTCCGGAGCCTGTGCTCCGCAACGGGAGAGGCCACAACAGTGAGAGGCCCGTGTACCGCAAAAAAAAAAAAAAAAGAAGAAGAGAGACTGTTGCTTAGGCAGAGGAATTTATCAAGTAGAGACTGTAATATATTTGCCTGCAGAAATAATGGCAGTTGGGTTCTACAGTTCAATTAATATCAGTAAAACAGCAATCCAACTAATATACAAGTTATGTGGTATATATGTGGCTTAATCTGGGAGCCCAACCACTATTTTTATAAAATGCTTCTATAAGAAAATGCTCTCTGAAGGGCAAATAATAGACTTATGAATGAATTTTTCAAACAATTTGTAAATTGAGGTTAACATCTAAGACAATTAACTTGTTGATAATCTTTGCTTTTGTCTTCTCATTTACTTACAAAGTTATAAAGAGCATGAGATCAAAAGCTGTTTTTTATTACATAACAGTACCACTTTGCTCATCTTTTTCTTATTCTCTCTGCTCTTACCCCACCCAGCGTTCATCATGTTACTTTATATGTAGTAGCTACTCAAAAATCTTTTGCATACCGATTGTTTGATTTTTAATAGAACTATCACTCATCACAAAGAAAGTATATACTGAGATACCTAGGGTTCTTGCTTCAACCTAGCTTTAATTTTAAATTACATTGCGAAATTCTAAATGATCTCTAAAATATGAATTATAAACTCCAATTTTAATTGATATACAGTATTAATAAAAATAAGTAAATTATAATAATACATTTGGATGTTTATAATTTTTTCCCACTTGCCTTATAATTTAGAGGCAAATGGTTGTTGTAAGGTCTAGAAAGCATCTTGGTTTAAAAGGCTTCAAAAGCCCTGTGTTCTAACCTACACTTTAAAAAATTTCCTCTGATGGGGGCAGAGAGGGAATGACCTCTCATTCCAGGAAACATTAGAAGTGATCTAATGTCCTAGCAATATATCTATCCTTCTGTCTGAAAATAGTGTGTTTTGGAGTTTAGGATGAGCTACCTACTTATCTCTCAGATGGAGGAAGGCTGTGACTGGGGAAGAAGGACCCATCGCACATTTGTTTTAAGTATGGTGACAAAAAGATACTTCACAAAAGACACTGTTTTGCCTTTGCAGGTGTAACTGTGTGGAACCACATAATCCTAGCAATGATACATTGAAGGAATGGAGGGAGTCCAATATTTCTGCCTCTGACATAATTTGGGAGAACCTAACTGTGTCGGTAAGTGAAACATTGAAATATAAGTCATGGACTTCCCTGGTGGCACAGTGGTTAAGAATCCGCCTGCCAATGCAGGGGACATGGGTTTGAGCCCTGGTCCGGGAAGATCCCACATGCCACGGAGCAGCTAAGCCAATGTGCCAAAACTACTGAGCCTGTGCTCTAGAGCTCACAAGCCACAACTACTGAGCCCGCGCGCATAGAGTCCATGCTCTGCAAAAAGAGAAGCCACTGCAATGAAAGCCCGCACACCACAACCCGCTCGTCACAGCTAGAGAAAGCCCACATGCAGCAACAAAGCCAACACAGCCATAAATAAATAAATAAATAAATAAAAATTTAAAGAAGAAAAATAGGTCATACCTTGAATCTTATTACTATAAGGGCTTTTATTGACTTTTTGAATGAATTATTGCCACTAAGTTAAGTGTTTTAAACAAATACTATTATAAAAGTAATGGTTTTGATTTCATTCATTTCAAGTATGCATAAGTTTACTGGGGTTTTCTTTCATTATTAAGTTTTTCCAGTAGTTATTAGGCCAGAGTTACTCTGAAAGCACACATATATGGCATAATGTGACTAGATTAACTGAAAGCACATTAAATAAGAGTAGTGTTGACCTAAATGAAACCGTATGGCAGAACTAAGTCAGCCTTCTGTGTAAGGAACCCAGAATGCTTTTACTTTACTCTGTAATACTGCTCCAGCTGTTCAGAATATGTTAAGGGGGAGGGGATGTTTGTTAATATTTTTGTGTAAATATTGAACTTTTTGGGAAAACAAAAGTCACTTTTCTTAATAAAATTCTGGCACCTCCCTCAGGAAGATTTTCTTCCATTTTCTCTTTATCCTCCATTCAAGAAAGAGAATGGCAACATATTTTTCACCTATCAAAGTTAAATCTTATACCTTTAAAAATATTTTTGGCTTTCCTCTTTTTTTGTGGTATCTTTTTTCCCCCTCATAGCTGAATTTCTCAATTCTTCTTAATCACTTGCAATATTTGTGCACCTCCTTTTCCATCTACATTTGCATCCTTTACTTCTGGTCAATCAAATCTCATAGTTGAAAAAATCAAAAGTGTTCTGGTTTTAATAAGTATTAAAATCTGAGTCATTCTAGTTTCTTCTCTATTCTTCCCAGTTACGAACATTACAATCCAAAGCTTCTGCCACTTTATCTACCCATATAAGCTCAAATCCCATTATAACCATGGGCATAAAACTATATAAATTCTAGTTCATTTCATGAAAAACATATCATTTAGTAAGTGAGCCAGTTAGTGACACATAGAAATCTTTTTTGTTGTACAAATATTATAAAACTCTAAACTTGATTCTTGTAAGAGCACTTGACCTATTGCCTATTTTATCAATTTTCCTCATTAAATATTTTCTTCCAGAATCAAAATCAAATTACTTACCTTCTGTTTAAAATTCTATCTTGACCTATATTTTACTACCTTTCCTCTTATGGTAGTCATTTGCTCTAAAATAAGCCTTCACTTACTTTTGTTGTTTTCTTCTGTTATAGTTAACTTTTATTCTGTCCTATTTTTTCTTAGAAAAAATAACATTACCAAACTCTTTCCTTTCAGAGAGCCATTTAAATTGATCAGTAAAAGAAATGATGAGCTGAACAAGAAAGAATGCTACAGTTATTCAGAATTTAGACATGGGATTGTGGTTGGTCCATTCAGCAGTGCATCTTCCATATATATTTCCCTTTTGTAAACTATAAAGATATTATGTCTTGAGTCCCTTGCTTTTGTCCCTCATCTTGGTGTCCCCTACAATACAGTAACCCAATAATCTCATCTCTAAATTATTTAACATAATTTACTCTGTGTTTTATAGTCTTGAATAATTTAATATTAAATAATAATATTCATTCCATGTAGTAGCAAACCCTGAATCATAACTTTCAAAGAGACTCATAGCACAATTGATCTAGCTAGCCATGAGTTAATTTTAAATATTAGAAGTTTTAGGGTCAAGCAGAGTACAGTGAAAAATATTTTGCAATCAAAGCAAATCTAGCACTGTGGTTTTTTTCTTGAAGTTCTGTACTAGGAGTTAACATTCTGGCAGAAATTTTCATATTATTTTTCATTAGTTAAAAGCAGTTTTTGCAATAGGTAATTGCTAATCTTGACCAGAAATAACATTTATCTCCAAAGGGAATGTTGCATAATGAAAAAATCTTACAATTTTTAAGTCAATGAGGGCCATAAAATTGTTTTGTCTTAATTGTTATTCTGGGATTTCTTTCCTCAGCATAACCATTAGTATCACCAAAAACTGTATTAATAAAGCACTGTGCTAATGGCTATTATAACTAGTTTTGTAAAAATAATCATGTAATATTTACTTTGTATATTATTCACGTGATAATTTTTAATTGAATTGTTACATGTCTCATTAATTGTAATTTATACCTTGCTAACTCAGCAAGGGCAAAGAACTTTAGCTTTCTTTGATTCTCCCAAACAGCTGTACGCATAATAAGTGTTCAATAAATATTCAATGATGGTTTTGAAAAATAGTCTCAAATCACATATTTACTATTTAATGTAAATTTCTTGTTTTGGTTTATTTTGTTTTCCAGCTTTATCGAGGTATAACTGAGAAATAAAAATTGTCTATAGTTAAGGTATACAATATGATGTTTCGGTATATGTATATGACATGAATGATTACCGCAATCAAGCTAATTAACATATCCATCACCTCAAATAGTTACTTTTTTTTTTTTTTGGTGAAAACAATTAAGATCTACTCTCTCAGCAAATTTCAATTATTTAATGCAATATTATTAACCATAGTCACCGTGTTATACATTAGATCTTCATAATTTATTCATCCTGAATAACTGAAACTTTGTACCCTTCGGCCAATATTTCCCCATGTTTCCCCTCTCCCCAGCCATTAGTAACCATCATTCTACTCTCTGCTTCTGAGTTTGACTTTTTTAGATTCCACATGTAAGTTAAATCATACAGTGTTTGTCTTTCTGTGTCTGGCTTATATCAGTCAGCATAATGTCCTCCAGATTCATCCATGTTGCGATGGCAGGATTTCCTTCCTTTTTAAGGGAATGATATTCCATTATATATTTATACTACATTTTCTTAATCCATTCATCCATTGACAGACATCTAGGTTATTTCCATATCTTGGCTATTGTGAATAATGCCTAATTCAAGTGTTTTATAGCAAGCTAGAACACTTAGGTTTCTATGTTTATATATATTTTTAGCAGTATCTCAAAATCTGTCATTATAAAGGAATTCCTAGGCGAGGTTTAAAATATTCACAAGCAATTAACTAGCAATTGGTTAAGAATCGTTTTAGTGCCAGAATTACATATTTAGCTTTAAGGGGCAGGACACTAATGCCAACTTTAATTTCTTATTTTATCAAATTTAATTTTTACCAACTTATAACACTGCTGAAACTTAGAACGTGTTGAAGAATAATTAGTAGAAATGAGTTTGTCAACAAGCAGTTTTTCATTTTTGTAAGTGAAACCATATGTGAGACTCAAAATAAGAGAACAGGATTTGGATTTAGTTTTCTCTTCCAAATCTCAGTACTTGTGTGTGTGTGTGTGTGTGTGTGTGTGTGTGTATGTGTGTGTGTGCATATGTGTGTGTGTGTGTGCGTGTGTGTGCGTGCGTGTGTGTGTGTGTTAAAGGTACAGTTAGTATAAACCAGAAAATAAATGTAGAATTTAGTAGTTCACAATTTTTCTGTTTTAAATAGCATACTGTCCCCCTAAAAGGAAGAAAAAATAAATATGCTTTTCAAATTTGCTTTGAATTAAAGTAACTAGGCAAGCTATTGGCAATGTATTATAGATTATAAGACAGTTAAATGATCCTTTAAATGGTGTCTATGTTCCTAATATTTGAGAACAAGACCCAGCCAAGTCCAAGACTTGGAGGACTTTTATATCTGCACAAAAGACTGATCACAATTATTTAGATAATGTGTTTACAACAGAGCTTCTAGCTCCTCTTGTATTTATCCATTCTTCTTAACCATTACTTTGCTTAGTAATTGCATACTAGTATCTCTGGACAAGGGGCAAGAGATGGGAATAAAAAATTCAAGGATTCATTTTTGCTACTTTATCTATTTTAACAGAGTTTTGAGAGAAGGAAAATTAAAGCTATAATTAAGGCCTGGGGAATTTTTCTTTGGTTTTTCAATTAGCCAAGTCATTGTGCTCTATATTAACTTAACATAGATAATTGGAATTCAACTTTAGCTAGCAAAGAATGTAGCATTTGCAGTTAGATTAGAAAAGGGAATGGAATTGTTTTAGATAATTATAAGGTATACAAACAATATTTCTCAAGAATCCTAGCCTTAGGGGTAGCTGCCCCAAGTAGATTTTACTAGTTTGTTTTTGGATAACCATGTAACTATCTGTGATTTAGTCTAGAATCTTTTGAAGTTATTTGTTTTCTGCTATACAAGGACTCCAGGGCCTGAAGCTTTGTTCATTGGACAGTCTCTGTTGGTCATCAGTCCGTCAGTCCATATTTTTCTCTAAGATCTTTAAGTATACGGCACAGTTCAGTTTCTGTTCAGGTCCAGATATCTCAAGTACTAACAAGGTCACTGGATCACTTAAACCATTCTTTTCTCTGTTTTGAAATAAAAAATTAAATCTAATCTTTAAATTAAAATAGTAAAAAGCAAAACGTTTTTAAAAAGCTTTAATTTCAAAATATTAATGTTTAAAATGCTCAGTTTTTTTCCTCCAAGAAAGGAAATTTTTTTGACTTTGCTGCCACCTCATGGCTAAGGCAGCAATTAGAAATGATCCTTCAGAGGCTTATAAAATATATACCAGGAAAAAAAAGAAGACCACGAAGAAGTCATAGTAAATATGAACTTTGCATTGCTCCTATACTAACTTTTTCTCTCTTGTTCTATAATTTAAATTTGAGCCCCATCTTTGACTTTCAGTTTCACTCCAGTAATAATGTATCATAGTTTTTTGTTGCTTTTCTCACCTTTCTTGGGAGCTTTTGGACGAGATAATTCTACAAAATCATTGTTCTTCTTTAATAATATTCCCACCAAAGGAATATCATGTTTGTATCACAACTCTGCTGCCACCCAGCAGCGGTGAGCCCATAGCCAATTACTTAACTTCTCTACACCTCAGTTTCCTCAGACATGAAATAGAAATAATAACAACTACCTGTTTTATAGGGTTGATGTGAAAATTCATTAAGATGGTGATTGATAAATCAGTTAGTTTTATAGATTTAAACTTAATTTGAAAAGGCAAGAATTTTAGAAGTGGTTCAGTTTGCTCACTACCTATGCAAATAGGAGCCATAACTGAACAACTTTAGCAACTCAACTGCAAGTGATCTTAAGATGTTAGTTTTCTGAAAGAAACGTGTCCACCTCTTTTGCTTAATAGCT